GTTTCACTTCACCATAGCTGTTAGTCTCATTGGCTTTACAAACAGAATAAATGCAAACAAGATTGTTTGCAAGAGAAAGTTACATTATTTTACTAACCCAGTTTAAAATAAACGACTGTAAAGCCCCTCACTTGGCCTAGGAGTGGCCCGTGTTAGTTGAAACAGATTCCTAAACTGATTTAAATAATCAAAAGAACTGTTCAATGAAAGTCAAGAGGGCTAGGAGTCCGTCTCAACTAAATGGCTGTGAAACCACACCTTAAGTTAAAACAATGCAATGATCTTGTTTAGACTCGCCTCTAGGCCTTACCTGCTCTGCATGTGGAATTATTCTGAAATATCTGGGTTTATTCTCATTTTTATACCTAACCTTACTCTGCAGTGGTTTCCACACTGAAGGACCCTTTATCTGCAACAAAGCCATGTGTAAAAAAATGAAAATATATAAAGAGATGCTAAGGTGCAGGGCTCCCATAGTTTTTAATATCTGAAGGTAGCAACTTCCCCTATTCAGTACTTTCTAAGGTAGAATGCGTGACTTCACACCCACCAACATAAGGCAGATGAACCCCCTCACCTAGTTTGAACCAGCAATGAGGATTGAATTACCTTAATCTCGTATTGATGTTTTTTAGCAATTTTCCCATCTTCTTTTTTCTTAACCTCCTGCTGAGAAGAGAGACACACATCAATACACTGACAATGACCCGCACAGCCACCTTTAAAGCTAAAGCAAACTGTTGCTACTCCTGCCCCACTTCCTGACTCCGCAAAGATTCTCCCACCCAAATGCACCAGAGAACTTTCAATATTAAACTTTTCAAGTTGCCCAAACTGGTTACCTCTGCTGTTCTCCTTTTTCTGGTCTGGAGATGTTCTGGTGCCTGCAGTTCTTGTGGAGACTCTTCTTGACATGACAGGGGCTGCTGCTGCTGCTTGGCTTGCAACCGGCTACTGCAAAGAGCAGAAAGACATTTAGACGTTAGGAGAGAAGCAGTTTTTAGATGAGCACATATAAGCTCGGCATATTGCGATGCTAACAGTTTACCTGCGTCTTGACATCTTCTTTGCGTTGTAAGATCTCCACCTGGACCAAAGGAATAACATAGGCTCAGTTAATGTATCCTCAAGAGGTTAGGACCAAGTTCCGTACTTTGCGTCACAAGACACGCCACAAAGAGCAGCACGGTTTACACAACCGAAATAGAAGGGCACAAGTATTTTACTGGAGCAGAGAACATCTGTGGTACATAGTCACAGGCAGCTCCACGTCCTGCTGGCAGCTAGCTACACTGAAGGGATGCCCCCCGTGTATGCCAGCAGCCAGCTTGGCTCAGGCTA